CTTGGAATGAGTGTTGTGTTTTATGGATAGATCTACTGTAAAAAAATATTTTAAGAAAATTATAGTATTGAAAATTCATTAAGTAAGAGTCACACACCACTGAAAAGCGAAAATATCTTCATGAAAAAAAATGGTCTTTGATGGGATGTCAGGGAAGTGGTAAAAGTACTAGCTGAGAAAATTTTAAATGTCTGTAAATAAATCAAACAATATTAAAAACTATTATTATGTCATTAATACTAACAATATTACTTGCATTTTTAGTGAAACCCTAAGCAAAAATAATGATGATTAATAATAATAATAATTAATAATAATAATAATAATAAACAATAATAGTAAATCATCAAACACCAATGTAATTAGAAACCAGCAGAAACATGAGCTGAGGAAATAATCTCTTTATATATATGGAATCATTGATATAGAAGAAAGAGAGATAAAGAAAACTATCAAGATGAAAAAAGAGAAGAGATTTAAGAATAGACCTATTAGGCAGAGAAGAAAGGGGGCGTATGGATCATGAATAATGTTAGAGATAAATTGCTAATACACCACACCTTCTCAAAAAGTGCCTATAATAGGATTGTTTAAGTAGACTGAAAGGTAAAGAAAAGGCAATATGGGGTGCTTTCATTACAAAAATTGCATGCTTTTAGCAATATTTGCTGTGCAATGGATTCTGAGAAAGTGAAACCTTCCTACACTGTCAGTGGGACTGTAAATCCCAATGCAGCTATTATGGAAAACAGCATGGAAGTTTCTCAAACAATGACGGATAGATCTACCATATGATCCAGGAATCCCACTGCTGGGTATATAACCATAGGAATGGAAGTTGTCATGTTGAAGGGAAACTTGCACTCCCATGTTTAACGCAGCTCTATTTAAAGTAGCCAAGAATAGGACCCAACTTACATGCCAATTGGTGGGTGTCTGGATAAGTAAACTTTGGTATCTGTACTCAATGTAATGCTACTGTGCCAAATAAATAAATAACAAAATTCTGCAATTTGCAGCAATATGTATAGACTTGGGGAAAATTAGGTTAAGTGAGATAAGCTGGGCACAGAAAGTGAAATACCACATATCCTCACTCATAATTGGGAGCTAAAAATGAAATAGAAATAGAATGAATAAGAAAAAATATGAAAGAAAATAATTTAAGGCCCAGAATAATAAAATTATAAATATTAATCTAGGAAAATGGGAGAAAAATATTATTTTCCATTTATGCTGATCAGTGCTCAAAAGTTCTCAACAAAATCATGTTCAGTGTTAGATCCTTCAATCACTGAAGAAAGATAGTCTGGGAACTAAACTTTAAAATGTACTGAAATAAATTTCTATGCTTTAAAATAGCAAATCAAGTTGAATGGATGGGCTTGATGTTATGGAGGTCACTACCCGTAGGAAATAGAGATCCTTCCCTTGGAACTTCTTGAGAAGCCACATATTGACCTGGGAAATAAGAGAGGGGGGCATTATATTTCTGTTTCAACCTCCATTGCTGGTGGATACCCCTGAGAGGTTTAACTTATCTACACATCAGGGTGGTAGCGACCTGTGGGACTCAAAAGTTCCCACTACAGTGAAGGAAGTTATGCATCACCTGAGAGCTGTTTCAGGTAAAGGTGGATCATGTCCATACAGAAATATCCAACACAATTGCTGCTAACATTTGTCTTGGCCTGGGGGACACGAATGGGAACAACAAAAATCCAGCCCAGTGTGTCCTTATATTTCTCTCTTCATAGTTGGTTCCACACAGTTCACCTCAGTCCACTCTGCCACAAAGGCCAGACTGACTCCTCTTTGTCTCAGTGCATAGGTGCCATCTTAGCCTGAAAAGACATGGGCCAATTACAATCCCTGGTAGAGAAACTCTTTATCAGCTGCTCCACAGTCACAAGAATCCCCATAAGAAGACAACAAACATAGACTCAGATTACGTGGAACCACTTCTGTGCCCTAGTGGAAGGATTGTGAAGGCATAAATAAAAGTTTGCATTTAGTCACCACAAATGTGGTGAAAGCAATTAATCCTACTTCTACACTCTTATTCCCAAACCACTGTGCTGTAGCTATTGGACCCAAGCCTCCTATACAGCCCCTTGAATAGGACCATATGCTGGGAACTAGATTACAGTGAAATGCCTGTGATGGAATTAATTTAGAGCTCAGAGTTTCTTTTGGAAGACGATGCCATAAAACATCCTTAGTCACATCAATTTGATTTTATTTTCAGACCCTTCAATTGGCCCTTCCATTGTTCTGTTGGTCTTTCTGCTTCTGGAAAAATCTAAATGATGGATGGCAACTTTAGCCCATGCGTGTGTTCCCATGGCCTCACGTCCTATTCCTCAGCAACAACTAGAGTCCTTGGTCTTAGAACATCCTGCAGGATCTCATATCAGATCCAGACATTCAGCACCAAGGACATTGGTCATGAGAAAAGGACTTTGGCAAGAAAGGCAAATCCTCCTACTGGATAAGACTAACTACCATAAACAACTATAAAGCTAAACATGTGGGTGAAGGGTACATGGTATTCTTTGTCTTATTTCTGAAATATTTGTATAAGCCTAAAGTTAGTTCAAGATGTGTTTAAAAATTAAGGAAAATATGAATCAACAGGTATATAAGGCCAAGAAAATATTAGATAAGAAAATTCTGATGAGGACAATTTTCTGGCTGTCATGGGTGAATGTGCCATGAAGCAATAAAGCTTATTACAAAGAGGATTAGTGATATTCCCATGTTGATGGATGGTGTTGTATTTGTCACTGTCATCTCAGGCACTCAGTGTGAGGAGCTAGGACAGTCGTGGAGGGAGGCAACCGCAAATTTCATCTTGCATTCTCAGGAAAGCCTGATATAAACAGAGAAGGCAGAAAGGTTGTACAGAAATATTGATAGTAATATAAAATCAATGATCTCATTCCCTGGACCCACTGACTTAGCAGAACATGTTTTCCTCTCATGGAGGTGCTGATTACTCTCACATGTCAATGCATTCAGTTGAACTTGAAAATCATAATTGCCCTGAGAAGCTGTGTCACAGATTGTTAGAAAATTCCCTGAGAAATTCCAACATTAGTTTTCAGGAAGATGTGAAAAAATTTCTGGATGTGATTGAGTTGCCAATTATAAATGCCAGAAAACAACTAAATAAAGAGATTATTTCAAGAAGATAATTGTCCAGGGAGGACTAACGCTAAAAAGGCTACAAAAGCATCATGTAGACTGAGATGGAAGAAGAACCATCAGATTTGTCATCTGAGAATTTCAATTCTATCAGTGAGAGCACAGAGTGGAATTGCTGGTGTAGACAAAAATTAGAACAAGTCCAAGAGAGAATGAAACATGTTATACCTGAAGACATGCGGGACACTCACACTTTCAGTTTCTGTGTGAGGACCTAGAGGTACAGTCCTTCTAAATGGAGGGGTTTTTTTAAAGACTAATAAAAAGTGTGTGCTATTAATAAAATCACTCAGGATATGCCCACGTATAGAACTGCATAAATGACAGTGGCGCCCGGGGGTCACTCTGGACCACACAGGCCATGTGATCATTCTGACTTACTCAGAATCTTTTCCATCCACTACAGATTGGGATGGGGAAGCTCAAGTTTAAGGTCAGTGTTTTACTCTATGAAGAAAAGAGGAACAAGGGGACACAGACATTGAAAAAACCTTACAAAATTCACAATGTCCTTGTTCATCACAAATTTGTCAGTATAGGACCTAGATTTAACATTTGCACTTTTTTGTGTTGAGCAATTTGCCTGTGCAATAAAGTTAATTGGTACTTTTAGAGAGAGTCAGTGAGTGTGTATATAATGTCAGAAAGGCATTATTTTAAAACATAGGTGTTAGAAATTACACTCACTTTAAAAAGTCACCTTTTAATATATGTGCTACAATACTATCTATTCAATAAAAGAAGACAATAATGTACCTACTTTTCTGCAAAAACAGTTTTTTGATTCAATTAGATATCTGACATTTTCAAAATGGGTTTGTTTGTGTTAAATGTATATAAAAATTTAACTTGCTCATGTAGAAAGTGGAAATCTTGTCTGTTCTACATAATGGTTGGGTGGGGCATGCCTGGCATATAGCAGAGTCTCAAACTCATATTATTATTATTATTACTATGGAGGAACATAGTGCAGTACAGATGTAATAATGATTTATTGCCTCACGTCTGATAGTCTTTGCTTATGTCATTATACTTTACATAAAATAATCACAACATGTGTTCCACGAAAGGAATCTACTAAAAAGCGTCTTTGAGTCACTGCTTCTTTGTGTTCTACTTGCCCTGTCACATGTGAAGAAAAGTAAATAAAAGCTGAAAGAAAAGAAGCATGCTTGGTTAAAATACACATTCTCTGCCCTTTGTCCAAATTCTTAAATTGAATGCTTAGATCCTTTGCATCTACTGTATTTTATTTATTTTTATAAAACATTTTCAGAGTTTTAGATTAGTCTTTTAGCCTTTCCTCATTCCAGTTCCATAACACTGGACCTCATAGACATTTGATTTCATATATGTACTCTGGTCAATAGTTATATTGAGGGTGACCTGGACACCCAAAGCATCACTGTGCAAACACAGCATCTCATAGATTTGCCTACCAGTGTGTTCTGCAGGTGATGGAGCCATCTGTATATTATATGGGATAAGGAATGTGAGTTGTTCTAGGTGTTGTGGGGTCATTAGCCACCTGTGCCTCCAACTTGATGCAGGATTGACCTGCAGTAGTGCCTGAATAACATGGTTCTGCATGTGAAAGACACATGGGCTCAGCAGCACAGTGAGGAAGGTGCAGGTGACCCACTTCAGGTGACCTATCCAGGGTGTCCATGGATGGACCGACACATAGGATGCACATTAGGAAACAATGTGGGGTTGGATGTATAACGATCAAATCTATTTGCGACCACGAGGGGAAGAGGTAGTCTGTCTGAGTGAATGGATCCATGAGGAGACAAAAGCTTCTTCTCTGAGGCCAAAGAGTGTGAGCTTGGGACACAGAGTGACTGGACAATGTAGCTGTTTTTCTATGAGTGAAATTAGCTCCAAAAAAGAAATGAGGAGAATCTTCAGGATGATCTGTTTGTCGAGAATGAAACATGAGTTATAAGAACTCAAGAAGAAAATGACCCTAGTGAATCTTTTTTTGTCATAGTAAATGGAAATATATATATTTATATATTATTGGTTATGAATATTCATGAGATACAGAGCTGATTGTCATACCTCATGCCCAAGATGTGAAGTCCAGATTTGTGCTGGCAGCATGCCCATTGCCACATCTCATCTGAAAAAGACCATGTCAGATACTCCTTCATTACCCTGTGAGGGTGTGAGGAATGAAAGACACAAATAATAAGACATAAAATGTCTCAGGGGACAGCTGAGAACTTGGAGAGTAGATGATTCCGTTGAGCCCAACAGGAAGCACAGGCCCCTCTGCACCTGCTCCTGGAATCAGCCCTGAACTTGGTGGTTCCTGAGCGCCCCATGGTGGTCCCGTGTGTCCCTGTAGGGAAGTTTGTGTCTGGGCTCACGCTGACATCCCCTCACTGTGTCTCTGGCACAGTAATACACGGCTGTGTCCGAGGACTTCAGGCTGCTCCACTGCAGATAGGCGGTGCTGGCCGAGTTATCGGTGGAGATTGTGACATGGCCTTGGAAGGACGGGCCGTAGCGTGTATCTGAGTCACCAGGATAGATGGCCCCCACCCACTCCAGACCTTGCCCTGGAGCCTGGCGCACCCAGCTGATCCAGTAGATGGTAAAGCTGTATCCAGAAGTCTTACAGGAGATCCTCAGAGACTCCCCGGGCCTTTTCACCTCTGCCCCAGACTGCACCAGCTGCACCTGGGCACACGCACCTGTGTGGGAGATGAAGGACTCAGATCAGGGGTCCCCTCCTGTGCACTCCCCTCTGTGACCCAAACTCTGTGCCGGGACTGACCTGGGAGAACAGCCAGCAGGAGGGCAAGGATGGTGGCAGACCCCATCCTGGAGGAGGACAGAAGAGGACGCACTGAGGACCCAGCTGGGCGGTGAGGGGGACTCCACTGTGGAGGGGAGCACTGGGATTAAATTGAAAGTCCCCCCACTTGAGTTTGCATATTTACCACCCTGCCCTCCAGGGGATCAGCCCAAGGGTTCATAACACAGAACGCCCGAGGACCAGGAAGGGGGATCATCTGAGCCTCATGTGACAGAGAGGATAATGTCACAGTAAAATACAAAAGTTTGTACCTCGCCCCTGGGCCCTGGAATGCGCAGAAGCGCTGGACTGAGAAATGCAATTGTTGGTGTCCACGGTGGTCTCAACATGGGCAACTCTCACCAGGTGGTCCTCGCACCAGCATCAGCCACGAGTGGATTTGGGATGCAGAATATCAGTTCTACCTGTGAGAGGTGTCAGAATCACAATGGAGTCACTTGTGTTAAACAAACAAAACAGACAGAGCTGGGAAGGCTGTGAAGGGAGGATGTTCATGCACACACTCCTGGTAACACAAATTACCACAAAGAACTGCACAACCACAGCCTTGCACAGAGGCCATCAAAGCCTTACACACACATCTGCAAGGACATCTGCCCAGCAACTTGCTGTCCAACCTTGAACTAGTGACACTCTTGTCATTGATCCTGTAAACAAGCAGAATTATTCAAAATAATTATGTAACTTCCATTATTTTTTTCTTTGAAACACTTTTCCTTCATTTACATCCCTGAGCATGCACATAGTTCCTATGACTCACATATGCCTTTTGTAATGTTCTGTTCCCAGTGAAGCTTATGATTCATTGGAGAGACTCTCCCTGATTGTTATTCAGGTTACCATTCCCAGGAGCCCTGAATCTGAGCCTCTGAGGTAGGACCCAGCCACCTGCAATGTTCTGTGTCCTGAAGGAGAGTCTTGTTGTGCCAAAGATTATAAAGCACCCTACGCTTAGAAACAGATTGTACCTGAACCGCCCCACCCCATTAAAGCTCTGCATAAAAAAATTGTATTTTATTTATATTATGGGATGAAATAAGTTTCTCCAATACTTGTATGTTGAAGTCCTAAAACCATCATCCCAGAATGGGGTTGTATTTAAAGATAGGTTCTCAAACATTAATTAACATGAAGTAACATAAATGTGTGGGGGGGAGGGACTAATTTAAAATGACTGGCGTCATTATAAGAAAGGGAGATAAAGATACGGACATGTAGAGATGAAAAACCATGTGAAGAAAGGGAAAATACAGCAATTTACAAGCCAAAGAGAGAGACATCAGAAGAAATCAAATTTTCTAATACCTAGATCTCAAATTCTTGTCTGCAGAATTGTGAAATTACTATATCTATTTATGTTTAGTTTAATTCACCCAGTCTGTGGTGCTCTGTAATGGCAGCCCTAGACAATTAGCACAGTATCCATGTGTCACCTTGTAACTCCTCTGGAGTATAATCCTTCATCCCTTATGGAAGATGATCCATCAGTGGGATGTGCTGAGTGCATGAGTTCTGGGAAGGACACAGCCTTCAAACTTGAAAGCAAGCACGGGTGGGACTGTAATGTACCTGGGCTGATGCACGTCTCAGAGTTTACTAGGTTTCACTTTTTCAAACTTTTGTAAGAAGAATTTCAAACAACCTAAAATAGAGAAAACTTAAATATTAAAATATGAACACAGGACATGAAAATATTTATTTTCATATTTGGTGATGTGTACTCTAAATTTATTTATTATATTTGTTTGTATTAATTTATTTTAATGAACTGGTGTTTATGCTTAGATCTAATAAGAAGGCTACTCCAGAGAAATTAAGGGTGAAGATATACTGAAATAATTTTTTATCTTGAACAATATCATATCAATGGTGTGTGAAGGAGCTTCATTTTGTGAAGGTCACTACCATTTGGAAGTAGAGCCCCACCCTTCAAGGTCTCTGGAGAATACATGTAACGTCTTCGGGCCCTGGGAGTGGAACATTTGCCTCGCTGCTTCTCCCTCTGTTGTTGACAGACATCCCTGTAAGGACTAAAGTCTCTACACTTTAGGGATTTGTCAAACATGGATCCTCAGAATCCCCACTGCAATGGAGAAAGTCGTACATCACCTGAGCACTGTCTCAGCTGCAGGTGAATCACGTACACACAGAACTATCTAACGCAATGGCTGCTATAATCTGTGTTGGCTCAGTGGACATGAATGGGATCAACAGGAACCCATTAGAGTGAGCCCTCAACGTCCACATTCGATGATTTGATCCCCACAGTGCAACATTCAGTCCACTTTGCAATGAAGGCTTTGAAGCAGCAGCCAGTCCCAATGTGCATGGAAGTCACAGTGTGAGTGTTGGTGGATCAGGATTCACTGTCCACACTGTGGCTGGACCTGTGCTCACCACTTGACACTCATCACTATCCCCTCTGTCCAGTCTAGATTCTTCTAAGTCATGGCCAGCACTTTGGTGTTGGTGATGGCTACGTGTTGCTTGGCTGGTGGGATGATGTAGGCCTTGAACGCTAAGTGCCCATTGTCCTTGGTGACTTGGGCACTGTCTAGTGTTTGATGCAGTTGTCCTGGACCATGGTGAATGCAACAGAAGAAATTCCCATACTCTGCATAGGTCGAGGTGGCTCCTCTCTGTCTCTGCTGGTAACAAAAACTTTACCCCAAGGACACAAGTCAAATACCATCATCCATGTAGTAATACTTTCTTCTTTGGCTAATCCACATTTATAGGAATTTTTATGACTTAGGCTATCATTACATCTTCAGATTCACTGAAAACCTTCTTGTCCCCACCTTGTAAACATTGCTTCCTGAGGTCCAGTGCTCCTAAATGATCACAGCCTAAGGTTGTGGAAATGGGAAGAAAAATTATGAAAAATAAGTGTGTGTCGTCACCATAGATGTGATGAGATAAAGTAATTGTACCACTCAGCACTGATTTCCAGGTCCCTGAGCCCTAAATCCTGGGATGCAGAGCCATATAAAGTCCATCACTTTGAGTAAGTCACATGCAGAAATCTCAAGGTCACAGTACTGCTAAAATGGAATTTTGTTTAGGACTTAGATTGCCTCTTGTTAAAAATGTAGTAATAAATTATTTGGTGTGAAACCCACAGACATCAGTTTTTAAACATTTAAATCATACCATCTATTCTGTCAAGGTTTTTGCTTCTGGGAAAATCTAAATGATATAGGATCACTGGACCCTGTGCTCCTGTCCTCATGGTCACACCTTCTTTCCCTCAACAGCAGCCAGATTTCTAAATCATTGACAACATCAGGAAGGTTCTCATCTCAGGGATTCAGGGGTTCAGGACCTTGGACAGTAATTCTGAAAGGTGCCCTGCTGTAGAAAAGTGAACACACTTTAGAACGTGGGTAAACTGTGGCTTGGATGGATTGCTGCCTCTCAAATGTGCTTATGGTCTGAAGTAAACAACTACTCACCATGTTACTGAAGGGTGTCTTATTCCATTCTGTCTGCTATAACAAAATACCATAAACTGGTATCTTGTAGTCAACAGAAGTATATTTCTCAGAGATTTGGTGGCTGAGAAGTCCAAGATCAAGCTGCTGGAAGATTCAATGTTTGCTGAGGGCTTACACTGCTTAACAAATGGTGCCTCCACAATGTGTCTCACATTGCAGAAGATCCAAGGTATGTCCCTTCAACCTCATTTGCAAGGACAACAATTCCATTCATGAGAGCTCACCCTAATGAGAAAATCACCTCCAAATGCATCCAACTCCTAACAGCATCACATTGGAGGTTATATTTCAACATATGGATATTTAGGGGAAAAAAACACTCATTCAGATAATTACAATGAATATGTTCATGGAATGATGTCAGATTCACAAATAATTATGATATCTATCACTATGGCCTCAGACACTCAGTGGGAGTAGAATTAAAGACAAAAACCCATTTATTCTGGCACATGTTACGTAACAGCAAGGCAGCCTTTACACAGGGTGACTACAATGGTTTTGCAGTAGAGGAGAGAGATTGAGCTCAACTTAAAATATAACATGAACAAGTGGGTATTTTAGACAAAAAGCAATGTGGGAATTGATGGTAGAAAATTACTAAGAGGAAGCATCGAGGTAAGTGGAATTCTGGGTATAAAGGTGTGTCAGGGTTTTGTTGAAGGCAGGCAAAAGTGGTCAGACACGCCCTGGAGATGGTGGGGCTGGAAGAGCCTGCGTGGATATCAGGAGTCATCTAATATCAGAGGTGGGAAATTCTGGCTAAACTGACTCTTCAGGATACTTACAAAAATCGGGCAATGCCAAGACTGACAGGGAAGTCCAAGATTTGAGACCTATTTGAGAAAAGGAATCATGAGAAACTGAATAATGTTTAGTCAAAAGGAGCCTCTTTGCCGGGAGCTGGGTCAGCCTTGTTGGGAGGATTCCCTGGTCAGCCTGCACGTGAGAAGCTGTGGGAATCCCTGGTATGAGCCAAATCCAATTTGTGGCAACAGAACTGTTAAATGAAAATTATTATGACACTTGCTGAAAATGGCAGGAAAGACTTTATTCAATAATATTGCAATACAAGACATAGATTGAACTCAACTCTGAGTGATGCAGAAACAAATGGATGTTTATATTCAATTGAAAGTTTGAAGGAGTGAATGGAAAATTGCTAAGAGTGACTAGTTTAGGTATCAAGTGTTTAGGAGAGAGAGATAATCGGAAAACGGGCTTAGCAGGATTCTTTGCTTAAACTGCACTCAGTAGAACACGGGTGAGGACTAGTCATGAAGAGGCCTCCATAGAGACTAACTAGAGATTGGTTAAGGTGGAAGTCCTTGCAGACTCCTAAGGGGCAAAATTCCCAGGGGCTGGTAACACTCACATGGAGACACGTGTGCCTGTCAGAGGTCTGAGGTCATGAGCTTTAAATGTGGACAGAGTGCCACAAGGGAAGAAAAGCTTAAGACAAATAACTCCCAGTCCAGGATGATAGGAATCCACAGGAAGTTATTTT